TTTTTTTTTTATGAATTCAATTTAAGTGTTTCCCGTAGATGACCTATATTTTTTGTATTTCAGCCTAAACCAATTGAAGTGCAAGTAGTTTCGCACAAGATGCAGCGCTATGCAGTTTGGTTTGGGGGAAGCATGCTTGGCTCTACCGTAAGGTTTTTCTGTAGCTCCTTGTTAACGCGTGCCCACTTCTTACTCTTTTTCTTTCAGTCGGAATTTTACCAAGTTGCTCATACAAAGGCAGAATATATGGAGAAAGGTCCAAGTATTTGTCGGCATAACGCAGTTTTCGGTGCTCTTACGTAATCATTTTACGCTGTAATAGGATAATTTTATGTAATAATGACTCAATGGAACACCAACAAACGTTTACTCTGATTGATTTCCACTTTTCAATTTCACTTAATTTGCCATTTTTAAAGTGATTTTTCGATTTTTCGGGCTGTATTTGTTCTACTTTTTTTTTTAAATAACTCATGTTCGCTACTTGTATGTAAATTCCTTACTGAATCACTGTGAGCTAGCGTTCTGCCTTGTCCAAAAATCTGCCAACAGTTTGTTCGCTTTAAAAGACTAGATACTTTTTTTGTCCCAGATTCAAGTGAGAGAAAAGAGACGGCTTTAAGTCATTCTGTGTACGGTTTTTCATTGCCAAGAAGTCAGTCTTGTCGACATTTATTTATTGATTTTGTTGTAAAGCTTTGTCTTCATGTTGGCATAGGGATTCTTTTTGGAGGGGGATGTCCAGGAAAAGTTTCAGTGGGTTTTTCTTTATATAGTGTTTTCTCGATTGTAGGGACTTAAAGGGAGGGAGGAGTAAAAAGTATGAACGCCGAAAGGCTGATGTTCGTTTTTGAATCCGTATTGCCTACTGCTCGTTTAATTCGTTACTTCAGTTGTTATAAAAGAAAAATTTGCGTTTTGTTAACTCTTGCACTCAAGCTTTGCTTAAATACTGTTTTGACTTTTTTAGCCAGGCAAATCAATTTATTCTTTGCTTTCACCCGCTCATAAAAGTTGCAGGTTTTGACCGTACAGAATACTGTGTACGGACATAGCACAGCTGCTTTGCCGGAACCTCAGTAACAACCTCGGCAGATTTTTCAAATTCACTTTTTGAGGAAGTCTGTTTTGAACTCATTAAGATTTGAGGGTAAAGGGTAATGACGAGGAGTTTGACGCTGTAGCAGATATTTTTAAATCTAAACCACAGTTGACTGATGTCATTGTCGTTAGCCTTGCTAGTTTAACTTTGCTGCTTCCAGGTAAAAATATAAGCAATATAGAGCGGTTGGTAGTAAACTACTGCAGTTACATCAAATGGTATTTCGCTAGTCCACTGTTCCACAATTTTTGAGTTTACCGATGTC